CTAGGGTCATAATCAGAAAGTGAAAATGAGAATATTATTTTAACTACAAGAAGTAGAAAATAGCATTTTGGGGACTGTTTAAATGAATTCAACCTAAGTAATATAGTAATAATATCACTCTTCACACCAGTTTAAGTTTGCTAACATACCCGATTGAAGGATTATTAGCCATGAATGGATCAAAAAGCCTATTTTCTTCATTTTCAAGTCTTCTTGAAGTCTTCAGTCCTATACCGGACCATCTGCAAAAGCTTTTCTATATGACACTTCTTCAAAAAATAACTTATATTCAGACAAAATAATTCCTTCCTACTGTCATTATAGGTTATCAGATTACATGTGGAGATGAAGCGCGGTTGCCTTCAAACAGACAGGAGTATCAGAGAACTGACTGCTGCTTTATTCAGTCAGAACTCCGTAAAGTCAGCTTCTTCTTGGCTGTACTTACACTGGCTCACTGTACACTGTAATTTTACTGGAGTAGGTCAGGGGGATCAGATGATACACAAGTAGAGACCAAATACTGCATGTTGTTAAACACAGATGCATTGTGGAAATATGTTTTGTGGTACAGTAGAACTCAAAAGAGTTCTACTCTTTGAACTGTTTTTTTTCCCAAAATTTGCTCAATTTTCATTAAACTAAATGGCAAAGTTTTTCAAAACAAGTTCCACAGCTAAAAGCATGGTTATGAGCTCTTTTCCAAAACTGAACGTTTATTAGAGCATTTGGAAGATACAACTTGTGCAGATTCAGATGCTGGCAACATCCCCCCCCTAAGCAGGGGGGGGGATTCTCTCTTCTTTCTCATCCCACTTTGGTAAGCACACCTGTTACAGGATTCAGAGCCAAAAAAAAGTCATTCATTAACTTAGATTCTGATTCTTTCTGCTGATTTGGTCATGATACAGACAGTCTAGATGGTAATGTCATTCACTCTGTTTACTTGCCTTGATGGTGGAACTTGAAAGCTCCAAGCCAACGGATTCCAATGGTTTAAGATTATCTATACTGACTTCTATGACTCTTTTCTGGCTTGAAAGACTGAGTTGTTTGCTTTCGCAGCATGAATGAGGGTAACTGCTATACTGGCTATCTAGAGAACAGAAAATAAGATTTACTTAAATACACTGAACGGAATCATATATATGATGGCGCTGCAAATGGTCTTCTGAGTGACGCCTTTCTCACTGGACCAGAAATAGGCTTACTGTTACGTACTGAAAAATTGCTAATACAAGAGGGAAACGGAGGAGATGGGTTTTAATGATTTAATGATTCTAATTTTCCCCTAGTGGAACCAAAGCCCACTTCTCTTGTGGATTTTAGAGGCAGAAGGCAATTCACAACTGATCTACAGAACATGAATTCAAGGGCCTAGTTCCTTTTGCTAGTGGCGGCTGCTTTTGGCTGTGCTGGTGCCATTCCCTGTCCATTCCAGTTTTGAGACTTTCCTGGCCACGCGCCTTTATCTCTGTGGCCTTCAAGTACGACACAGGAGATTAAATTGTCATGTGCGGGCTTCACACTAAGGACGATGCTGCAGTTCTGTGCGTGTGCGGGCGCGTGCTGATGGAACACCATATATCTCTACAGGAAAAACAAGAAATATAGCCTAGCCGGGCTAGTTGTTGGGTTACATACCACCAGCCAATTCAAGAAACATAGCGAACGCACGTGTGGATACGCACGAGCACGTAAGGGGGGAATAGCTGCACGCTGGAGCGTTTCACGGGGGAAGGTGCTGGGTCTGCCCAGAATCAAACTTTCCGCAAACTCCACGTCCCAGACTCAGGCGGCGACCG